AATGGGCTTCTCTCATTGTCATAAAAACTTCAGAAGTTATTGGTATTGTTATTATGCCCCAGTTTTCAGAGGAGTTTTAAAAAGATTTCATGACATTCCAAAAATATGCAGCTAGTGAGCTGCGGAAGTAGAACTCAGTCCTTAGCAGTGAGCACGTCCCCCGTGATTTTTCTCATTACCAGACAAGTTGGGATGCACTCAACTGTGTACTTAGTGGGACTGGATAATTCTTTGTTGATTAAATGAACAGCCTTATCTCTTGAGATTATTGGAAGTGTCAAGCAAATCACTAAATTGCTTTGTACCTTAATTTTCTGTTTTAAAGCAAAATAATTCAAATTTTTCTCTCCTTAAGATCAAGTAGAGTACAGAGTATTTATCTAATTGCTTATTTTTATGCCTTTAAAATAGTCTTGATAATGTTTGTCAAAGGCTAGTGGTTTAAGTAGGTGATGAATGAGATCTCAACAGTCCGTCATAGATAACTATGTCTTTCACAGCCTGAGAGAACATGATAAACCAAATGTTAAAATTTTGGTTTCCTTTTACGTGAACTTTAGGTCCATCTTTGACCTCATGTGGTTCAACTGAATTAGAATTTGTCTATAGGAGACAAGAATCAAATGAAATGTCATGTAAGGCTTAGTCTGTCTCTTTAAAAAAAACCTAGATAGTCCAGATATGCTTTGCCTTTGAATTTCTGTATTTCTGATATCAAAACTATCCCGACCCAGTTAATAAGAACTTTGCATCCAGTTCAAGGATCCTTAATCCATCACTACCAAATTCCTTCTTTATTTAGACCTTGCAAATTCCAATTTGTCTCTCATTATTTGTAAACATGGCACAGAAAAAATTCAAAATGCGATCCATAACTGTTGACAACTAGGGAAATTAGATGGTCCAAGAAGCCTTGTCATGTGACCTCCAGCCACAAACCTCTCTCTACCTCAGTCTCCTCAGCAAAAGGTGTAGCTGCTTCACAAACCTCCAGGACAGTTGTGAGGGTTAGACAAGCTAGGAAAACTGCTTTGTAAACAATACCGTGTTTATGAATAAATTAATTTCAAAGATTACTTCCAAAATGCCCCAAAGACAGACATTTACGTTAGTGTCATAGGTATGTGTAAAATCATCCATGTGCCTTCAGTAGTTTCAGCACTGAAAGCATTAAGAATAACCTCAGGATTTAAATGTTCAGTAGTGTGTGATTTCAATTGCAGACTGAATTATTGAAGGAGAAAGGGAGAGAATATTATTCTCCAGAAGCCTGTGTCTACTGGCCTAAACAGATAAGTTGTTAAAGGTCTATTGAGATGGTTCTTAGTGTTTCACTTAGAAGTAAGGCACCAGGACTGATCTAGACAACCATTCTGCTGTCCCTAAGTATTCATTAAAGACTGGTGAATTGTGTGATATTGAGCAAAAGATGAAGTGACCATAAGGACCCGTGCTGCTATGAATAAATCAAAGTCAAAGTTGTTGGCAAGTCCAACAAATGAAGAGAGAAGAACGTACAGGTAATATTCAGCTGTGAGCAGCTGCAGAACCCACAAAGGCTTGCTAATGTTCTCTTTTCTGCTTTTAAGCTTTGGCAGCTAAATTAGATTCCAGCGAGTACAGGAGGTAATCAGCGCCATTAGGAGTGGCAGGTCCTCCAACCTACTTAACTGTTATCCTCTCTGTGATCACCGAATGCGCACCTTGCCCCAGCCAACCATCTGACACCATAAAGTCAGTCCTCCTAGGGGGAATCTTAGAAGCAGAATTTTCAGGGTCGAAAGGCACTTGTTGCCTCTGCAACAGAAACAAGCAAAGCACAGTGCGCTAGACCCGCTGTGGTCAGCATCACTTACACCTGCGGGGACCATATTAGTATAGGAGCATAGTCTGAGAACATGCGGCTAGATTTTAATAAATCAAAGGAATGGCACCACACCAGGCATTCCAGGGAAGCATGCTCTGCCCCTCTGCACTACTCTCCGCGGGAGCGCAAGGGCTCTGCTCACAGTGAATATGCTGCTCAGAATGTGAGGTGAGGATTACAACTCTCCAAAAAAGCCCTGGTCTCTTCTAGGGTGTGGGTGACTGCAATGGTGCAGTAGCCACCACCTATAAAACCCAAGACACTTTAAATTCCCTTGGAAGTTCAAGGAAGACTCCAGGGAAATGTGAGCAAGGCTTTATTCCTCACTCTCCGACCACATTTCCAAGAGAACCTGAAGTTCCACAGGCCAGGCAATAAAGAGAAAGTATCCATACTTCATCTAGGGTTCACAGTCGGGGATGTGGGCTCTAAGAAACATTCCCGACCAGTTTCTGAGCTGGGAAGTGAAGCGGGAACCGCGCATTTCCTGCTTCGCTGCGCAAACCTCAGGCAGGGCCAAGCGGGAAGAGGACTCGGTCTTAATAGTCGCCAGCTGCCAGGGTGGGGCTTGGGGGTAGCCAGAGACGAGCCACAAATTAGAGAGAAATCAGAACAGGGTTACGTGAGATCCCGCCCACTTAGGATGCACGCTCCCATCCTTGAGGGGAATGAGTCCCCGAGTTAATCTTGGGGTCGAATTTTCTCAGCTCCGGTGGGAAAGCTGGGTGTAGCCAAGACTGCAAGGTCTTACCCTAACGGACCATCGTAGGGGCTGGTGACGCTATCTTTCTTCGTTTTCTCTCCCCTCCTGCTCACGAATTTTTATCTCCACCTCGGTCCCAAGGGCTGACCAGGAACCAAGGACAGGCGCGAAAGGTAGACGGGAGGAGTGACGGCACCCGTTTGGTGCCCGGGTGCGACGTGCCAATCCGCAGCGTTGTTCTGCCTGGCCCTACCTGGAAGGTGCAGAGCCTTGGGCACGACTCTCTGCGGCGTGCAACTACTCTCATTGCCCCCAGAGGCAGCCGCGAAAGCACTCACTGGTTTTAGGTGGTCCAGCTGTACTATTGTCTCTTTATCTTAGAGCCTGCGGGGGGGGTGGGGTGGGGATGGGGGGGCTGCGCCCAGGGTGACGGCCCTCGCACCCCTTTCCTCCCCCATGAACTTGCTCTCCAAAAACAACGGATCTGCCTGGATGTCCACAGATCCTGCGCAATGGACTTGAGTATCTTTTAACAGGCCCTGGACATCCGAACACCAAAACCCCCACAAAACCTGCGGACTATCACCGCTCACTCCGAGGTTCGCGATAGAGCATATAGCTTTGACTTCTGTTAGGTAGCCCTAGTTGATCACCTACCCGCTTGCTACAGGCCTCAAGAGGTCGCGGGCTCAGTTTCTTGTTACTTTTGTCGCTTCCTTGCCCAGCCATTCGACCCTCGAGTCCCACTTGGGGATGTGGCGCAGTCAGTAGCCTCCCAGAATTTCTGCAGTGTGCGAGTTGTGACACCCACCGCCGCCGCCAGCTGCAGCAGACGGCGCGCCGGGCTCATACTCCAGATACCCACCCCCACCCCAGTAACTCTCTAGAGTTGAGGAAAGCAAGGCTTGCAGGAAGCCGCTCCGGATGTTTGCTTCTTTACATGTGGCATTTGTGGCTGGCTTTGATAACGTCGTGAGCTCCGCTTCCAACACTCATTTAGTGAAGAAACTGAAATATGGTCCACTCACACCGCGCGCGGGTCTGCGGTGCGGTTGCCCCCAACACTCCTCCCAAAGTCTCGGTCAAGAGAATGATCAGCAGAAGTTAGATCTAGGTAAGAGGGTGGGAAGGGGACTAGTCTTGGGAAAGTGTCATATTTTTCTGATAGATTTGTTAGGAAAAGTGCTACCTTGTGACTCCAAAGGAGGTGGTTTCTCTGGCGGAAGACACAGAAAAGAAGTTAATCTCCAGGAATGAGTGCAAATAGCAGTAGGGAGCCCTTAGGTTTTCTTTTCCACCACTTTCGGGATATTCTAGGTCCCCTTCACTGAGAGCGAACAGAAGGAGGAACCCAGGTAAAAAATGTGCAAATACTTTTTCTAGCCTCCACCTGAATTATCTTTCGAAGAAATCAGTCAAGACAGAGAAGACAGAAAATGCATTCCGAACCCGGTACTGTTTTCAGTCTTCATTCCAAATAAAACTCTCAGTTTATACAAGATTTCACAGAAAGAAAATTCGGCCCTGAGATCTTCGAAAAGATGTCTGCTACTAGCTGTTAATAGACGTTCACTTTGGAGGTCAGGGCCTGTGATATTGTGGCTGGGAGGCAGGATGATTACATGGGGAGACCCTCTTTTAAAACAAATAAGCAACAAAATAGAAAGATTTGTTTATTTGAAAAGAGCACCTCGCTAGGAGATTAATTTGTAATATTGTTGACTCTACCCCTATAGTTCCCTTACTTAAACATTTGCAATGCATTTCTTGTCTTACTTTCAAGTCAATAAGCTCTTTAGAAAAACACAAGGCTTTGAGGAAAAGTGCATCACCAGTTAATATTAGATCATTTACTTCCAAATCACCAATTAAAAATAACATTTGCTTTGATTTCTCAAAGCAGATTGAAGCTCCCTCCCCCCATGAAGCGTATAGACCTGAAGCTTCAACTACAATCACTGCACGGATCCAGCTGTAACCCCGAGAGAGAGCGTCGCCATTGCTTTACAGCATAACAGATTCAAGAAAAACTTGCTTTCATACAATTTCTCTGTAGAAAAAGTCGTTTTACAAACTGCAGACCAGGAGCTAGCAAAAGCTCTGTGCCTTTTGGAACCTGAAGTAAGCCAGATTTGCTCTCTGAAATAACACACAAGAAAGCCTTAACCTCATTGACGCATGCAGGACCACCCCAGGCTAAAGTTAAGTGATACTTTTCAATTAGCCCCTCATAGTAAACTAAGTAAGTCTGCTCTGGAAACTACACTGTTGAGTTTTCTTCTCCCTTCCTTCCTTTCCTCCCCCTCTTTTGCCGCCCCGCTCTCTCCTCTCTCTCTCTCTCTCTCTTCCCCCCACCCCCAGACAGGGTAGCTCAGACTGGCCTCTAACTCCACTTTAGATATTAGATGAGGGTGATCTTGAACTTCTTACCTCTCCTGCCTCCACTTTTCGAAATCACCAGCATTGGCCCTCACGTAGGCTTCCTTTTATGCTTCTTGCCTGCTGGATGAGCATTTTGAGTTATGTCCCCAGTCTTTGACTTTTCCTCCCACAAAATTATACAGAATGACCACGTCGGTCCTCTTAGAAAACACCAGTATGCAAACAAACACAAATGCAGCTCCGAACTTGCATTCTTTGGGAGCTTCTGGTCGGAAGGCCAGCTGCTCACTGTGAGTAATATCCTCCCAGGGCTTTCGCTAGCCTCTTAGTCTGCTTCCTCTCTCAGAAGCTATAAGGCTGCCCATTAGGCTGGTTAGGGGCTAAATTAGTTAGCTAAGTTTCGCAGGGTGTTGATTGAGTAACTTCTGGGATAAGCACTGTAGAGCTGGACCAACACGTCTAGAAGCCCATAGAAAAGTACGTTCAGGTCTGGGTAAATTTAAGGGCTCTCGGGTTTTTCCTTCCAGTCTTTAGAAATATATAGAAATACTGTGCAACCGTCTGTTAGGGTAACCATCTTAAACAGTATGGGTTTTGCTGTTTAAATGGGCTGACTGTTTTCCTCCAACAAGCATCACAGAGCCGCTCTCTTCGTCTTTTATTTTATATTTTTGGGATGTTTGGGATGAAACCATGGTCTCTTGTAAGTCTTTGGAAATAAAACCAGGCCTTGCCACTTTTATTAAACACACACAAGCAGCTTTTCTGATGTGTATTTTGTGTTTGATATAGAATTTCCCAGGATTGACTTGAACTTTTGATTCATGGGTGAAATATCGGCGATGTAACATTTTCTGTTAAACTTTGTTTTTTAAAAAACACAATTTACTTTCGACATTTTTAATATGATGTATGCATGATGAGTTCTTGGGAGAACAGGATTTTTTTTTCCCCTGAAAAACACCATATGAAGGTGATTGCCTCCGGTAATAAAGTTTTTTTTTTCAAAGAGTGGAATGGATATCTAGTATGTTAATGTGAACTACCTTGTGTCTAGTGCTTCAATCTTCCGGTACAGTGAGCACCCCTCGACAGCTGAATTTCAGCACTCCTATTTCCCGAGTCAGAGAGAGGACTTGGCGCCAGAGCCCGGCTCCAGCCAGTTTCTCTCCCTGGCAGGTGTAGTCCTGGCGCTCCACCGGGGGAGGGGAAAGGGGCGGGAGTGGGGTTGAATAGGGACTTGAGTCTCGGACCACCGGCTGGGCGGGGGCTTAAGGACTAGGGTCCGGCCCGCCCCCGCCGCGCCATTGGCCACATCTATATAGAAAAGGGCTGGCGGCCGGGGGACACCCACAGTGTCACTGGGTAGAACTCGGTCGCGGTCGGGCGCTGTAGTTTAGGACTAGCCGGGAGAGCAGCGGGAGGTTCGAGCCCGCGCGGACTTAACGCGTCCCTCTGGACATCTCTGAGCTAGCTCCCCTTCCTGCCTCTGAGTCGGGGGAAGCGGCGTGTCCCGCGGCGGGTAGCGGAGCGCGGGGTCGGTCTGGAGCGCCATGAGCAGCCCGGATGCGGGATACGCCAGTGACGACCAGAGCCAGCCCCGGAGCGCGCTGCCCGCGGTGATGGCAGGGTTGGGCCCTTGCCCCTGGGCCGAGTCCCTGAGTCCCCTCGGGGACGTAAAGGTGAAAGGCGAGGTAGTGGCGAGTAGCGGGGCTCCAGCCGGGACCTCGAGTCGAGCCAAGGCTGAGTCCCGGATCCGGCGGCCGATGAACGCTTTTATGGTGTGGGCTAAAGACGAGCGCAAGCGGCTGGCACAACAGAACCCGGATTTGCACAACGCGGAGCTGAGCAAGATGCTAGGTGAGTTTCGGGGACCCAGGCCACGCTGCGCGCTCCAGCAAATCGCTGAGCCACTTCCTAAAGCCAAAAGGTGTCCCCCACCCCCTCCATCAGTCTTGCGCCCGACAAAACCGGTGTGCTATCGACTCCTGCTCCCTCTCTCACCAAAGCAGCATTTGGCTTTGGTCTTTGGGGGCTTTGGTCTTTAGGGGTCCACAAGCAAATACAAGGGTTTCTCAGCGCTTCTGAGAGGTCACCGAAATACCACTGGCCCGACTCCTTCCCGGCCCAGAGGACTTTGCCAGTTTTTCGAATTAAGAGGAGATAAAACTAAGGGAGTTAGGCTCCTCTAGAAGGCCTTTAAGGAGGCCCAAGACTTTCATCCTAATTCGACTCGGTTTCTCTACGGGTCGCCCAGTTGAAGGTTGCACGGGAGAGGGACCTGGGTGCGGGGGACTCAGTTGGGTAACCCCGCGGGCCTTTCCACCTCCCCTGCAGGCAAGTCCTGGAAGGCATTGACGTTGGCGGAGAAGCGGCCCTTCGTGGAGGAGGCCGAGCGACTGCGCGTGCAGCACATGCAGGATCACCCCAACTACAAGTATCGGCCGCGGCGGCGCAAGCAGGTGAAGCGCATGAAGCGGGTGGAGGGAGGCTTCCTGCACGCTCTGGCGGAGCCCCAGGCCGGCGCGCTGGGCCCGGAGGGCGGTCGCGTGGCCATGGACGGCCTGGGCTTGCCTTTCCCGGAGCCCGGGTTCGCGGCCG